CATTCCTCCCCGGGGCTTGCTAATCCACTGCCATCCCCACCTCCTGCTCGCTGGCTCCAAACCCGCCGGGGGATTTTGTTCCTAATTTAAAGGCAGCACCCATTGGGAAACACCGCAGAGGGAGGGGAGCACCCAGGTGTCCCACCCCTCATGTTACCTTCAGCTTCTTCTCCTTCTCGTGCACGACGGCACGGACGATGTTGAGCGAGGTGTAGGTGAAGCTGAGCATGAGCAGCAGGGGCAGCTGGTTCTGGATGGCGAGGAGGAAGAGGTCGTTGACGTACGCGGGGTAGGGGAAGCGCCGCACCACCACCGTGACGTTCTCCAGCAGGCCGGCGGAGCTGGCGCTGGCGTGGTACCGCATGATGGCTCTGTCCACCGCGTGCTGCACCGCCAGGAAACCTTCTCGGATATAACCTGCACGGCAGAAACGACACGGGGGGCGGGATAGAGACCGGGTCCGGGTTTTGGAGGGAGGCGCTGGCAGGAGGAGGGAAACGGCCTTGGTGGGAAGGATGGCTTGGGAAGAAGAGCCACTCCGGCAGACGCAGCGGGGCTCGGGAAGGATTTAAATCACAGCAATTTAACTCTGTCGTAAGCATGATTTAAAAGCAGCTGGCAAGAAAAACTCAATTTCAGCTACAGCCGCCTTTCTGCGGGCACGGCTTTATTTTTGTAAGGGCGGAGATCCTCCGTCATCATTAACCACCGTCGCTGGGCTCGTATTTGGTCCCTTGTTGTAAACCAAGACCATACGAGCTTAACTCTGCAGGTTTTGGTGAGGAAGAGTATCTCCTGTTACTCACACAGCTGGCTTAAATTTTTCTGCATTAGAAAAGAGTGAAAGGTTTTTAATTTTCAACTGGTTTATTTTCATGTGGGATTTCTGCCACTTGTTACTTGAAGAGAAACTCGAATTCTGAAAGCCCCAAACGGGCATTTTGAAAGTCAGCTGCTTCAAATGGCCTAGACAGAGAAGGAAGAAGTAAGAATCTGAGATCGTGAACCATGTTTTCTATTAACTCATTTACTAAACAAACGCAGCGAGGGAACTGAGCTGGGCTCCTGGTCACCCCGTCCTGCAGAACGTCTGAACCAGCAGATATCGTCCTCTGGGGCTCAGGTTTATTTACACCAGGGGAGGAAAACCCATTCGCCCGCTTTCTCAGCCTCTCAATCTTTTCCTTCACATAAGGAGAGACCAAAGCAAGGGAAACACCCCTTCTGCAGCGGCAGAGGAAGCTCCCCCCGCCCCAAAAATCAAGTCCTAAGGCAGCGCCAGCTCCAGCAACGTGTCCCCGCTGCCTCCTGCTCACTCGGTGGTTTGGCTTGCTTTAAAAACCTACGCTCAAACCACAGAATCACGCTAGTTACTTTTAAAGTGTTTGAGCAGCACGATAAACACTGAGCAGTTCAGACCCTGAAATAAATTTTCTATTAAAAATATAGAAGGAAAATAAATTTACGTTAAAAAAAAAAAAATCACGTAAATAAAATTTAATCTTATCCAAGTCCACTCAGCAGGGGTAACCCAGAGGCCAGCAGTGCCCAAGAAGTCACGGGATAAAATTTAAATAAATATTATAATAGTAAATATAATAACGAGATATTT